CTGGGTTTGTGTCTTGGGAAATTCCAAAACAAAACTTAAATTTTGTAGGTGCCCAAAAAGTCACTATTCCTTACATCAGTTTCTATTTAAGGGTACAGCTATGAATGAGACAAAGTCCTGCTTCAGATCATCTTGAACCTCTTACCGTGCTAATATTTTCAAAGTTGTGTGATAAGATTTGAATCCATGCATTTGCTTCAGGGACTACATACTTTTTCTTTCTTTTTTCGTGTTTAATAAATTTCTCTTAAGAGCTGTCTAAGGAGGGATGGGGAGACAGCTGAGTGGCATAAGCACCTGACTGGCATGGGCAAGGTGCTGAGTTCAATCCCCTGGACCTCAAAAAACAAACAAACAAAAAAAAAAAAACAAAGAAAAAAAAGAGCTATCTAGGGAGTAACTGGCAGACTCTGTTCCCGCCAAGCTCGTATTAAAAGATGGCCGTATCTCACAAAAGCCAGGACTTCTGCTGTATGAGCACTAAGTTGTTGGCTGAGGCTGCCACTTTGATGGACACATGACTAAGACACCTCTGGGAGGACGGGGCTTCCCAGAGGGCTGCGGTGCACATCTGATTTGTCTGCTCCAGTGATTAAGGCCAAAGTTCTAGGAATTCACTAGAAAACCCAGAAAACCAAGACAATGTGGCCTAGGGTACCTACGTTCAATATACAATATAAACTTGGTTGACAACTAAATGGGAAGTTGTTGAAGTTTCTAAATGGAAACATCGCTCATTTAAACTTAACTTTTAATGTCACTAAGATGTTGTGGCTCAAGTCGCTTCCTTTGTTCAGAGATGGTTTACTTTTAGAAGAAGAGCAAATCCACTTTAATTTTAAGTTTATACGTATCCAAAAGTTCTTCTGTTAGTAGTGACCGATGTGCACTTCACGTGTGTGCTGCCAAAGTGAACATGCTTTGTGCATTTTTAGCATCATGGAATTACTTGTTCAAAGACAACCTTGTTTAAAAGCTAACGTCTAGCATACCAGGTTAAAACGGAAATGTTGTTTTACAAAGCTTTTCCCTTTGTGCAAAATAATGCTCATGAGCCACATTTCAGTCAAAGGATTAATATTCCTAATGTCAAGGAATCCTACAAACTGGTAAAAAGTGATTTTTAAAATCCCAATGCAAAGCTTGACAAGCGATAAGAACAGCTGACTCCTGGAAAAGGAAAGTCACATAGTGAAAAGAAAGCAGATTAAAGCACAAATTATTTTTCATCCTTTAATTGCCAAATATTAAAAAGAGAACACATCCAGTGTCAATAAGAATATATAGACTGCATACATTGTTATAACATTCTAAGAAAAAAGTTTATTAAAAACCAAATAAATATGTAAACACTTGGATCTAGAGTTTTGCCATAGAAATAAGAGCACTGGAATCTAAGAATACACACAGTAAGCCTTTGATTGTGGTAATTGTAAACTGAAAATAAGCTATGCAACAATAACATAAATAGCATATGGCACATGTGTACATTATAATATTCTGGAGCTTTTTTTTTTTTTTTTGTGCTATCAGGGATCAAACTCAGGACCTTGTGCTTGCAGGCACGTATGCCACTGAGTTCTCTCTGGCTAGAGCTTTGAAAAATAATGCTAGACTAATATTTGATGAGTGTGAAAGGTATGCAGGAAAAAAATGGGGAAAAAAGCAAATTGTTGAGTAATACATATGACTTATCTTTAAAATCGATTTCTTCTGTGTATATGTAGGAATATATCCTTGTTATAAATTCCTACTAACAAGAAGGAAGAGGGCAAGCCGTTAGTGCTGGTTGCATCAGGAAGCTGAGATGCTGACCTTATTAATGCATCTTTATTTTGTTTTGTTACGGCAAGTGCCCTGCACGACTTTTAGAAACTGGAGCAGATTTAAGTAGGAAAGAGTCAATTTTGTAACTAACCTATTATTTCCAAAATTACTTGTCTAAGAAAATGCAGCGTAGAGGCTGTTGTCTAGTATAGTATTGCTGAGGTTTTAGGTGTTCACACTTAACATGAGAAAAGCTGTAGGTGACATCACAAGAATGCCTGGACTCTTATTCTATGCCATAGTACTGAAGACTGAAAAATAAGCGTCACTGAGGAGGGTGGTCACCCCTGGATCTGAAAATATTTCATGCTTTTATTTTCTCTATTAATGCCATTTATCTTTTTTTTTTTTGGAACCGGGGGTTGAACTGAGGCCCATGCACTTGCCAGGCAAGCATTAATTCTACTGTGCCATCTCCCTGGCCCCATCATTTGTCTTTTTAAGATGGTCTTTCATTCTGGATTATAAATCCCATCTCTTCCCATTGAAATGAATTCTTGAACTGTACTTATCAAAGCAGTTTACTTTTTAAAATACTTTCCTTTGGTTTTGTTTCTTTGTCTTAATTCAAGCTAAAAAGATTTGATAAAGCACCACACAAGCATTCTCACTGTCCTAGAAATTAAGAATCTAGAAAAAAAAAATGCTTTCTTAGGGTATGAAGATCTTTTCTATTTCCCAAGACATCTGCTTCTCCATTTTCTAGTAATAATCATATTTTTTATCAGTTTTAGGGTACACACATTTTCTATTTTATTATGTTCAAAATAGGTACTAAAATGAAGGCATGCTGTGCTTTGTTAGCTTCATATATTCAATGCATGCAACGCTAGCAGTGCATCTTATCATCAATGGCTTAGATTTAGTAAAAGCAGTAGAAATAGGGAAAACGGAGAAAGGAGAACATTATCAGAGCCCTGGACTTAACCAAGCATTAAACCCAAGTGGGTGGAACATGGAGGGAAACAATGGGAGCCCAGGGCAGTCAGACAGCATCATCCGACTGACTAGAATTTTCTTTGCCTGTACCATGACCACAGGCCTTGGTGGCCATTTAAACAAGAGAGATTTGAGAAAGGAAAGGAGCAATAATTTAAATGTTGGGGAGGTTTATGTCCTTTGCTCCAATGAGTAAAGAAAAATTCAGTGTAAAATAGAATAAGAATGAGTTTTTTCAATGACAAGATGTGGAGGAGTAGAGAATTTTAGAGGAAATCTTAAAGAAAAAGCTTACACATCCAAATTGCTTTAAAACATATCTGATAATCTTGTGGAATCAGTTCATATTCAATGGTGTTATTCATTGAGGCATTTTAATACAAAACTGGTAATAAAGTTATAGGACCAACATGTGTATGGCAATCTAGTTGAAATATTACACCAACAAAATAAGAGACAAAATTAATATTTATATTTATTCTGTTATGAATATTGTATAAATTACTTTAATGTAGAATATGCTTTGTATCAGTCTGCTACTTTAGGGCTTAGCCTGGCTCAAATCCCTGCGGTAGGTTTTTAGTTAGTGCCAGTGCTTTAGCAAAGGTCTTTGGGATGCTCTTAGCAGAATTTAAAAATCTTGCACTCACTTACTTGAATTCCAAAAGATTCATTTCATGGCGAAAATCTCCCTGGACCATCTTTAAGTTTGAGTTTTGCTCAGAGGTGGAAGCCTCTATCTTTGCGAAGAGCTGCGTTACCTAGTGAATGTAGAAGAAAGAGCTTTTTGTGCTGAGCAGCACCCCCAGCAGTACACTGATCACACTTTACTCCTAAAGGAGCTAGGAATGAACTTGAAAGCACGTTGGCTGGGTTTTTTGTTTGTTTCTTTGTTTTTTTTTTTTTTGTTTTTTGTTTTTTGTTTTTTTTTGCAGAACCGGGGATTGAACTCAGGTCCTTGCACTTGCCAGGCAAGTGCTTATTCTACTGAGCTATCTCCCTGGCCCGTATGGCCTCAGCCATTTCAAGATAGCGTTCTGACATGACCGTGTACAAAGCACACATGGTGGTTCAGGGTGGAGGAAGATGGAATTACAAGCATGGGGGAAACTCCATTAGGTACTGGAACTGGATCAAAATATAGACGCAGAACTGCAGCATAGAAGTTTGTCTAACTAACACTATCAAAGAGAACAGAATAACATGACTGGCTTTGACCAAACAAGCCACTCACAAACCAGGCGACCCCAGAAAAGAAAGTCAGCATTGAATGCAATCACAAGAGAAAGGTTTGAATGGCTTTTGAGTAGCAGCTGATGCCTCAATAGTGGGCTGCCGGAGGCGCACTTTAGGCAAGGAAAAGGCAGAAAAGTTAGGCAAAATAATTAGCATCCAGCCTTTGCCTCTCTACCTGGCAACAGCAAAGGCACAGAGAGCGGGCAGAGCAATATTAATGCCAGATAAAACACACCAAACCAGGTAACTCGCAAACATCCAGCGCTCATTCTTTTTGGGGGGCGGGGGCAGAACTGGGGATTGAACTCAGGCCCTTGCACTTGCCAGGGAAGCGCTTATTCCACTGAGCCATCTCCCCAGCCGTTAGCCCAGCACTCATTCTTTTCCAGCACCCACAAACATCTCCAACAACTACACATAAAAAAATCTCAATCACCCAACGAAGGAAAACCATAGGCCGTGACTCTTATTAAATGAGAGTAGAAACTAATAATAAAAATACATGTAAAGAAACAAAAATCCAGCCACTCGAGATAAACGAAAATGCTTCTTTCTTTCTAGTGTTTCACAGGAGGGCATGCCCCTGATGTCTACCTCAACGGGCGGAACTGCCAACGGCTGGAAGCTGTGCGCAGCACCCGTCGCCGCGAGCCCATGGGGTCCTCCCACGGCATCTCCCGCCAGGGACTCATAGCTCAAGTTTGCTCAAGGAACTTAACGAATGCTCTCTGGCCTAACAGTGCAAGCCTTCCTTCCCTGTCATTTCCCCAGGAATCAGACCCGCGGAGGGTCTCTGCCTCATCCAGCTCCCTCCCTATTTCTCCTCGTAGATTTTTGCCTCAGTCAATCTCTCATTCACCTAGTTTCTATGATATTTGTTTCTGAAGAATCTAGACTAAGATGAGTATTCAAGGGTAAATCCTCACCAGAATTATAATCTACGTAGGAGATGCAAGTGAGAATATCACCTATCTAAAGGAACAACCAAATTTATTATCAGGTAAGTACTTGGTAAGTACACTGATCAGGCTAGATCAGTGTCCCTGGATATAAAGAGTGAGTCAGAAGGCACAGGGAATCTGCAGAGGTCAGTGAAAAGAGGACCTTTCAAGTCCAGGCCAGAGATCCTTCATGGTTTTGTAAGAGATGCAACCCATTGCAGGGGTTTTAAATAAGAAAGAATATGATCAGCTTGTATTAATGTTGGATCCTTAACAATAAGAGCTCCTATAGGAATGCCTTTTCTTACAATCCATGGTTCCACAGGGATTTGAGGGGCAGTCAGAGGGTAAGGAAGCCACCTTAGTGGACTCAGAGAAGAGTCGGAGGTCAGTGGCGTCAAAAATCTGAGTGGTGGAATGAAGGGGGCTATACTTAACAAGGCAGCAGGACTGGAATAAGAGAGTGCTGGTTAAATACTTGTTGACTGAGCTGACTGCAACCCTGGTGTATATGAATGAGCTGTCTTATTAAAGCCCTTTTGAAGGAATATGTTCTTTTACTTTATTTTATTTTTTTGTGGCCGGCTCAGCCTGCCCTTGTGGGGAGGGCTGGTGCAGCATGTGGTGCCGGGGATTGAACTGTGATCCCTGCACACTTGCCTAAGCAGGTGCTTTAGTCCACTGAGCTATCTCGTGGACCTGAGGTTCTTTTAAAAAGTGACAACCTGACTGGACTTCTGAATTAGCTAGAATGATCTGGCTTCTGTCAGTAGCACACAAGAGCCTTGTCTGTTTCAGTTACCTTTAGATCCAAGTTTTTGGAAACAGTTGTCAGAGCAGACATGAGGTCTTGGATCGCCTTCTCCATTTGCCGGTGCTCGTGCCTGATGACGTGGATGTCTCCAGAAAGCTTCATAATGCTGGAGTCACACCTGGCGCCAAGAGGGACACTTGTGTGAGATCGGAGGCTCAGGATATTTTTTAATACTCTAGTAGGATCTGTACATTCATTTGATGGCAAAACTTCTTGAGTCCTTTGCACAATTATTTGCAGATGTAGGAGGACCAAAAGGATGTAAGAGATGTAACCCACTGCAGGGTTACAATAATGATGAGAGAAATCAGATGGATACATTGGCCTGCACCAAAGCACTGACTTGCACACAAGAGGACATTGGGGTACACTGGGGAAACTATATTTGGGGCACTGTATGAACTCAATCATAAGAGTATTAGCAGGTTGGCCTACTGCTTATAGCTGGGCAAAATTGACACCTTTTCTTCTGAATCCATCTTCCTTACTTTGCCTACAGATTGTGAATTCTCCTTTAACTAAAAACATTGCCCCACCCAAACAAAATCTTTTTTTTTTAAATTTTATTTATTTATTTATTTATTTGAGAGAGAGAGAGAGAGAGTGAGAGAGAGAGAGAGAGAGAGAAAGAGTGTGTGGCCAGCTCAGCCCACCAGGGGGCAGGGCTGGCTGGCATGTGGTGCTGGGGGATTGAACCGCGGTCCCTGATGCTTTTGCTAAGCTTGTTCTAAGTAGGTGCTTTAGACCACTGAGCCATCTCTCCAGCCCCCAAACAAAATCTTTGAATCTGCAATTATTATTCTTGATTCAAACATTTTAATAATAATAAAAAATAATTATTCTAATAAAACCAATTTCCACCCTCACAGCTGCTGAGCTCCTGCTCTTCCAGGGCTGTCAGGTATGGTCTGACCTTTCACAGACACCATTTACACACACATTTGGATGGAGCTTGGGTCCAAGGTGGCATTTGACATTTTAGGGAAGGAACTCTGGTGAGTTGGAGTTAGCCTGCTGATTGAGCAGCTTCCCAGCACACCAGGGAAGGAAAATACACAGAGGCTGAGCCCTCTATCATGACCCAAGGCCTCTCTACGAAGCCAGCAGATGATGGCCCTAATGGTCAGTTACAGTAAATGTTAACGGGTACGTGAAAGACAGCAAGCACTGTGGGATGTGCCTTTGTAGATCAGAATTAGCAAGGATCACGTCAGTAACTGTCATCCTGTAAAATGACTGCTTTGACTGTCATCAGATAACATAGAGAAGCACATTTTCATGTTGTCATGCTAAGTAAGTGGTGTAAGTATTGTTTTATGACTATTAGTTTGGGTTTTAAAAAAATTTTTATTCAGGACTGAATTTTTTCTCTTAAGATTTTTGGAGCTGAAAGTTGAACCAAAGGCAAGCGTTGTTGGTAACTTTGCCCGAGATGTCCTTCAAGGGTTACCACGCAACTGGGGGTGAGGCGGAAGAGGGGAGCCTATTGGGAGAAAACAGATAGAGTTCATCTGATTAAGAATCAGCACGAGATGTCATACACACAGGTCAAGGCTCAAAGTCATTCTACACTTTTACGTGCAGACACTGCCACTGTGGGAACACACCCCTGGTGTTGACTAGCCAGAATGCCTTACATCCATTTTATGACTTCCAAAGACTACAGGAGTAGTTACTGCTGCCACGACGTCCCCTCACCACCTCCCATCCCAGCTCTGCTCCCAATCCCCACACCAGCTGGTATGGGACGAGTGCCTGTGCAGGGAAGGCACTGGCTAAGAATCTGGTCCGTGGCGTCACAGGCTTTGAGGCCTGTCTCTGACACATCCCAAGTTTGTGGTCTAGGATGAGTTCCTTAGCATCTACAAGTTTCAGTTTTCTTTATCTGGACCAAGAGGGATAAGGACACCGAGGTCACTGCACAGCTGTGCAGTTTGTCCACCACACCCTCCGGGGGCGCCAGATGCGCAGGCAACCGTGTGGCTAGGGCTTGCTGAGAGCTCGTGCCCCGCCTTCAAGTCCTGGGCCTCTACCCATCCTCACCACTCTGACTTCATGAAAGTATTTCAGGGTGGAGGCAGGCAGCCAATGCAAAGCCTGGAGTCACCCAAGCCCACCATTATACAAGGTGAAGTCAGGAATCGATTAGTGAGTTTTCAGAGCTGACCTGTACCCTAAAGGAAGCTCTCTGCCGCCTTCTTTAGGGTGATTTCATTTCTGTCAAAGTAATATGTGTCCATTGTAAAAATTTTTACAAAAGTTGCAAAGAATAGAATAAAAGGAGAGGAGAGTTAATATCCTAAATTCTCTCAGAAAAAAAATATTGTTAATATTTAGTTATCATTCCAATCAAGATACTATAGACACCACATGCACACACACATGTATATTTATTTATGAACAGCCCTCCCTTGGTATCCACGGGGGCAGTGGATATAGGGAACCCCTCCCCCTTCAGATCCCCACCATCCTCAGATGCTTACATCCCCTATATAAAATGGAATAGTATTAGTGTATAACCCCTGCATCCTCTCATGTACTTTAAATCACTGCTAGATTACTTGAAAGCCTAAAAGAACGTTAGAGTCATGTAAACAGTTGCATTGTTCAGGGAGGAATGACAAGGCATAGTCTCCATCCAAGGTTGCTTGAATCCATGGATACAAAAGCCAAATATATGGAGGGCCGACTGTGTCTGCCTTTTCACTGCGAGAGATCTGTTTCTAAAAAATGAAACTATAAAAAACCATCATAGATTGTAATTGTTGCTTTTTTACAACTGCCATCTCAGCTTTAACCAGCATCTGTTGACCATGTGCCACAAAACGAGGAAATAGATACATTTAAATTCATGTTCGTTCAATAGTTTTGATTACTATTTTGCTATTTTTAAAATGTCAAAATGCAGAGACATTTGTATTGTGTTCTATATCAAGAATTCCTATAATTACTGAGTCTTCATTCTATGTCCTTAGCTTATGTTCCTTAGTGGCCCTTTAAACTATGATTTTTTTTCCCCCAGAGACCCTTAATCTTGGCTTATTCTTTGGTTGGCCAGAGTTTTCCATCCAGATTTGGAAGAGGAGCTCAGGAGTGTTAAGGTCTTCAAGTCCTTAAGAACGCCTGTCTGGTCTCTTATACTTCTAAGGTAACTTGGTGAAGATCACTGTTGGTGTTTATACCTAGATGTCCCTTGAAGCCCCATGAACCTGTAGGTGGGGCTTTTGAAAAGCTACAGCATCATGGGGGCGCTACAGCTAAATGTGATGTGGGGAGGTGGGGCTTGGCAGGATGAGGTCACGGGGTCGGGAGGGGACTGAGGGGATCTGTCATCCTCTCCTCTGCTGTGACGTGAGCAGCTTTCCTCTGCCCAGCCCTTCCATCCCTCAGCTAACCATGCAGAGCTTGAAATGTCCAAAACATGACCCCAAAGGTTAGATACTATTCTGTGTGCACCATACAGTATCACATATATCTCCTGAAGACTAGAGTTAGGGTAGTGCTCTTGACCGACCCCTTAAGAAACTGGTTGGGTATCTCGCAGGAAACATTAGGCCATAGCTCTCTGCTGTGACACTCTGGCCTCCTCTCCTTCCTCAGATCCAGCCAGTTTTTCCCAAGGGTGGCCTAGTGAGGAGGAAGGTTCTGGAGAAAGGGAATGATACAGGAACCATTTGGTTCTGCCACTGCTCCCCCCAGCTCTTCAGGGCTGCTGACTGGGCCCTGGTGCATGTCCCATGTGTGTCTCCTGGCGCCCACTCAAACTCCTAAAAGTACTGCTTTACTATGTAATGCCTTTTGGCATTACAACTCTTGATCTGGAGGAAATGATTGCGTCTAAGGTTTGAGAAGGTATGCATCTGGACGTCACAATGCTTGGTACGTGTGCCGACTGTGGTTAGCAGTTGTGGCAAATGCATTTCATGCTAAAGACAGAGTTTTCACTTTCCTTCTTTTCTTTTCCACTGGCATTGAGATGTCTCAAGTGACAGAAGGGGAGTAAAATGCCTTCAGCCTGCCCTCTAGACAGGAGCATCCCCTCAGCTTTTCAAACATCACTAATTTCTTTGTTTCCTTTCCTCCCTCCCTCCCTCCCTCCCTCCCTTCCTTTTATGTACTCAGGACAGGGTCGACAGGATCTCACTACACTGATCAGACTTGTAGTGATCCTTCTGTTTTCAGCCTCCCAAACCCTTGTATTACAGGTGCGCGCCACCACACCACCAGTCTCAGTTGCTGTCTCAGTGTGTTCCGAGGGCGGGGCTGGCTCCACACTCCAAGGATCAAACTTCCTGCCCCCGTGTCTGCCTAAGCAGGAGCTTTAATCTGCTAGCTCTCTGGCTGGCCCTTCAAAAGTCACTAACTTCTATCATAGCATTAGGTGTCTTCCAAGGACATGATTTGTACTTTCAATCATACATCATCACAATTTACCATTTTTTAAATGCAGGTTTTCTTTGTCCCAAAGAGTCCAGTGTGGCCTGCTGGTTGACCTCTCCTGGCTGCTGCTACAAACTGCCTTAACCACTCGTACTGAGCCCCGGCTTCCCCTGCCTTTCCTTTTCTGCTCTTGGGTCAAAGCTACCAAATAGACGAGGGGGTGAAAGGGTGCTTTAGCTCCTTGCTAGTGTTTTCTTTTGAACTGCCACGGTGCTAGGGTAGAAAATAAGTCATAAAATTCAAAGACCATTAGAATTGTTAAATATTGAGCCTGATTTATGAAGACTAACGTGTTTGCTAGGAATTATGTTAAAAAGAGCAACCTAATTTCACTTCTGCTGAAATTCTCATTGAATTAAAGCTTCCAGCTGTGGAAAGCCAGTAATCAATCTGCCTGAGCTTCCCTTTAGTCATCTGTCTGGGAAAAATACAGACAAGAAACAGGAGAGGCAGGGGGCATGTACCTCTGGTGGCTTTTAGCCAGATTCTGTCTCAGGTTACCAACAGAGTTCAGAAATTTTCCATAAAAGAGGAGAGATGCTTCAAGGGAAAGATAAGATCTTGTCCCACAGCCACTGCTTAGGACAAAGATGAAGGTTATGTCCAAGGGACTGGAGCAAGCCCCATGCAGTGGCCCATGCTAGTAGGGACAGAGGTGAGGCTGCGGGTGAGGCTGAGGGGGGAGGAACCCTGGAACCTAGGGAGTCCCAGGCTGCATAGCAGGACTCTTGTATCCAAACAATAAAAATAAAATTAAAATTAAAATGATATAGCCTGGGCGTGTAAGTCAGTGGTAAAGCACATGTTCACTCTGGCTGTGCAACTTGGAGTAAGAGCGTCTGGCTCACTTTTTTCATTTGTTCTTTTGTCCTGCATGCAAAATGGGATTTACAAAAAGGAAACAGAGAGGGAGAGGGGTCAGCAGCACACTACGGAATTGAGCCAAATCCTATTTCATTCAAAATATCTTCTTGCAAAAATATATCTAAGTGCAGTTGTGGGTTTCCTTGTATTTATTTAGTGATCTCACTTTATAACTCATTGATATATAATTCTTTTTGGGATCAAATGTTGCATCATAAAATTTATAATGAGGCATATTTTATTTATAGTTATGCACAATAGGAATATCTTTGGTATATAGTCTCTGTATGGTCAGATAGTTCCTTGAAGATGGTTTTTCAATCATAAATATTATTTTCTAAAAGTATTCTAAAGAGGAATGAAGAGACACTTAAGAGTGGCAAAGCCTTTCCCAGAGCCACTAATTATATCTATGTCAGGGGCAAGCTGAGTGCTCCGGGCCCTTCCTCTTTCCCTGTCGAACTCCTGGCCCATCCTGGTCTGCACCTTACACTCTTCTCCAAAAGAGCAGGGTGCAGATCAAGTGCAACCCTACCCTCTGATTCTCTGCCCCTTTCTTGTCAAAACAGCTCTGCACCTCACATTTCCTCAGCCCCAAGCCAGGAGCCTCAGTGGTGACCCTCGACGCCCTGTCTTTGCTCCTTTCCATGTCTATTCAGGTCCCGTGTTGCCTGCCTGCTGCTCTGGACTTCATGGCTGTAGTCGACTTGCTTGCCACTTCTCAGCTGGGCTGCTGTAAGAGCTTGCCTCGATGTCCATGTCTTCTCATACCTAATCCTTGTACATGTCACTCATAAGAATTTGATACGTGTGAGAATCTTATATGTGATTACTGGGGGTGTCTGTGTATGGGTATTGGCATTTGGGGAGCTATGGGCTGCAAAGAAGAGTCTGGTCACCGCCAGTGGAATCAAAGTGGACATTCCAAGTAATTGTTAGGTCCCACACATAACTCAAGGCTTGCAAAGTTTAATTTATTCTTTGTCTCTGTCTCTGTGTCTCTGTTTCTGTGTCTGTCTCTATCTCTGTCACTGTGTCTCTCTGTCTGTCTCTGTCTCTGTCTCTCTCTCTTATCCTTTTGAGACAGGGTTTCATTATGCAGTTCAGACTGCCCTTGAGTTCAGTTAGTAGCCCAGGTTGGTGTCAAACATGCAGTAATCCTTGTGCCCCAGCTTCTCAAGCACTGGGATTTTTTTCTCATAATTTTATTGATAAACAAATAGCAATGAGACAGTTTCAAATCAAATTGGTAGGACAGTTTCAATAATTAACACATTGCATATATTCTTTCTAGTGTTTAATTGCTGTACAAGATGCGGACATAATATCCTATTTACAAACACCATTAGAACAAATCCCTCTATTCATTAAGAGGATGTAACTATATATCTATGCTAACCACTTTGAATATACAGATATAAAATGGACATTCATCTGTATACCCTTTTTTTGTTAAGTTCTGTTATTTGAATTTTTTTTTTGTTGTTGTTCTTCTGATTGGCTAATTTTATTTTATTTTATTTTTTCCCCATAATTTTATTGATAAATAGCAATGAGACAGTTGCAAATCAAATCGGTAGGACAGTTTCAATAATTAACACACTGCATACATTCTTCCTAGTGGTTAATAAGCACTGGGATTATAGGTATACACCACCATGCATTACCTTTTCAAAGTTCTTTAGGACATTTTCTCAACTACCATCTCATATAAAGTTTCTAGCTTGAGAAACTATAATATTAGATTTATTTGGCAGCAAGAATCCAGTGGCTAAGGACTGTGCCTCCTTACCTGGCTACTCTTCCCCGAAGGTCTCCAACTCCTTGCAGGTGTTTGATGCTTAGATCCTGCACTGCAAAATTGGTTCCTGTGGCTGCCTGATCTCGAGCTCTTATTTGATCTTCCAACATCTGTAATTCAGAGTTAAAAATCACTATTACATACTTTCCTGTGATGCCTGATAATACAACATTTAACGTGGCAGAATGTGTATTTATAGTTAGGCTGGTGGGATTAAGGAGTGAAAGAGGCCTATGTCAAGGGGAACTGGTCTGGTTTATCCAGGAGGCTTCAATGGCTTGATTTCAGTTGGGTGTGGCCAGTAGGAATAACACAAGAATAATTTTTCAACAAAAGCTAGAAATCTAAACTTTATGCAATTCTCTTACTGTAAAAAATATTCAAAATCTTTACATAGTCTATAGGCCAAATAGAATATATTTGTCTTGCAGACCTGGACATGAGCTGCCATTTGGCTATCACCGTGTAAAAACTTCATACACAGATCTATGTTCACACACACAATCGATGGTAAATTTAGGAAAACATCTCTTAATATGGCCTCAGGTAAGGGTCACTTAGGGATTGGAGCAGAATAGCAATGAAGGTCCATAGCACAATGGGCATAGTTGATCTGAATCAAACTGTTTCCTCCACATAGGGCGAAAGGGTTTTTCCAAAGATTTCTTAGAGAACATAAGAGATTTCATGGCACATGTGTGTTCAGATTCTGTCCCTGAGTTCTGTTCTCATGATGTTTTGGAAACAAAGTTGACTTTCTTATACTACCAGGTTGATGGCCTGAGAAAGGTAGTTTTTAATTTTTTGTACCTATTTATAAATATCAACTCAAAAAAGTCCTACCTATCCATAGAAAAGATTTGTCTTACTTGACAGGCAGGCACTGAGCTGCTGAGCTATCTCCCTGGTCCTGTTTTACTTGACATTCATAAAAATTCTAGTGTGAAGTATCAGCACATAAAATGTTTATTCGTTGAGAAACACGTGAGTATGGAACTCTGGGAAACACCAAATGGTGATGCCTGGAAATATTAGTTTAGCTGTTACAGGGGACAATGGCCCCAATTATATTTAAGAGTAGACTCACAAATTTTACTAGGTAAAAATGGATTTTTGTAGCAGATGAATTACAGGAATTTCAAAGACCATATACAGATCTTTCCCATTTTTAAGTTGGACAACTGAGACAACCTAAGAGCAAGTAAAGCATTAACTGAAGATGTAAAATATCAGTAACACTGGTGAGAGCTTGGTTTTATCTCTGTGCATATACGTCTCCTTTTTTTTTTAATAAAGAAGAGTAATGAAATGGAACATAATCATACTGAAGCATTTTTTAGAAGAAAGATAATGAAATCAGTGTAATAGTAGTGCTACCAATTGGTTTGATGTAATGCACTAATGACCTGCAACATCATGTAATATTGTAAAGAAAACCTCAGTAAGAGGTTGTAAGGAAGAGCTTTGATATGTACAAGGCTCAAAAATCAACCAGGAGGAATTGTGCAAAAGGTATTGGGATCTCTGATTATTTAGAAGATATTTAGGTCTTTACCTCATGCCATGTCTCAATATATATTTTTTAAAAATAGACTAAAAGTATAGATTAAAATTAAACCAGAGTCTTTGACAAGGTAGCTCAGTGACAGCATGGCAAGGCCTCGGGTTTGATCACTAATCCACAAACACATGAGCACACACAAATTAAACCATAAATAACAAAAATGATTTCATATCTGTAGGATTTTCTGATCTTCAACACGAGGTAACTCTTTAAGCAAACTATTTGAATGTTTATACAAATAGTGAAAAGGAATGTAAACACAAATTAGATATAAAATGAACACTGGAAAAACATAAATAACAAGTGTGATTGGCAAGAGCTTCATTGGTGTCCTGCAATGAACATGAATTTGTCCATGAGAGCTGGTTGGGCATTAACTTTTCCAGCTTTGAGTTCAGGGTCATTGCGCTGGTTGTTTGGAAACACAGTGGAAGTATAATTATACCATGGAAATGGGCAAATACCACAAAATAGGGTCCTCTTAAAAACTTGACTGCTGATGATTAAACATTTATCAGCATACCATTGTTATTATCCTTAATAGATAAAAGAACTCTCAAATCTGTTAACAATTAAGTACTAAAACTCCAGAAGATAAATTGGGAAAAGACACAGGCAGATTATTGGCAGAGGAAATACAAATTTTCATAGTCACTTTAAATAAATGAATTCAAAGCCTTCACAGAAAGGAAGATCTCACTTTTATCAAATTAAAAAAGATTAAGACAATAAATTTGAACGCGGGCCATGGGCCCAGTGGAAAGAAACACTCTGGTATAATGTTCATGGAGGTGTAAATGAAGTATATGAACTTTGTAGAAATCATTCTGGCACGATGTATCAAGAACCTTCACAGCACTAACACCTTCGTCATTTTACTTCTAAGAATATATATTATGGAAATAATCCAAAGGCAGGCACATACTTGTGCACCAGGATATTTCAACATTAGAGAATAATTAAGCAAATTATGGGGCATGTCCCACAGCAAGAATTTTTAATGACATATGAAAGAGTTCTTGTTGTAATTTTATATGAAAGATTGTGCTTGCAGAAATCGTCTCCTCCTCCTTACTGAAAGGCTGGCAAAGACTGGGGGAGGATACAGGTGGGGACTTGCAGGTGCTGGCACTGGGTGGTAGAATCGGGAGAATATTTTCCCCAGGTTTTAAAATTTCTTCCTCATTTGGTTTTTGTTTTTCCTCTTTAAAATAAAATTAAATGATAAAAAGAAATACAATTTCTTTTTCTACTTCCGCACTAATTGTAATGAACAAGAATCATGTTTACATACTAAGGGAAAAACTACAATGAAAGTAGTATTATACTTAACATTTTCATTTTTGAGTTAAACAAGGAATTTCAAAACTTATAAAGAGCTGCCTGCTTTAAAAAATCTTTTGTTTTTAAAAAGGAACAAGAAACTCAACTATTGCTATTTTGGGTGCATTTAAAAATAATTGTGTTCTACCTGGGAGACAGCTCAGTGGTCTAAGCGCCTGCCTGGTTTGGGCAAGGGTTTGATCCCTGGTGCTTATACTGCATGATGTGCTGGCCCCAGAATGGGAGTACTGAGCCTTCTACCAGGACTGGGCGTGGTGGCCCCAGAATGGGAGTACTAAGCCTTCTACCAGGACTGGGCATGGTGGCACAAGCCTATAATCCCATCGCTGGAGAGGCTGAGACAGAAGGATCACTACAAGTCTGAGCTGCATAGGGCAACCCTGTATAAAATAAATAAATAAATAGATTTTAAAAAATAATAACTATTTTCATTCTCTTTATGGACCTAAGTCAAGTGTCAGTTTCTATTTGGATTTGTCTTTTAGGCCAATTTGTAAGGGGACTGACTGGGTTGAAAGTTTGCTTTCTTTAAAAATATTTGAATGTATTTGTCTATAAAAGTGCTTATTACATTTCATTTTAGTTATTACTAAAGGTAGCCGTGTAGTTTCTGCTTCATAGAATTTTAACGAAGTTACCTAAAGGCTTTAACATTTTTTAAATATGATTTTCCAAGCAATTATATCAGACATCTCCCCTTTTTATTTGTGTCAAAGCCTTACCAGGATTGCCAATAACTGGAGATGTTATAGTTTCTCAAAAATGTTTTTGCTTTGTATTTTTTCAGACCTAACCAAAATAACTATTGTTGGATAAGTAACTCTCAGTGAGATGCTAGAGACGTGGAGACTATTTTCCACCTTAATCTCAACAGGGTTTTAGGAGTACAGCTAATATGTATTAGAATGCACAACTCAAGGGACACTTTTGGACAGATTTTGATAGATCTGATCAATTGTGTAACAACAACCAGCAGCAAAATACAAAACATTCTTAGAAACATTTTGACAAGAATGTTGTTCTCTTTGTAGCTAGATTTAATTCATACTTCAGAATCTTATTTTGGTACCAAAGCTGTATTTACTTGATTTACTACTAATCATCTCAGAAGCCAGGGAGCTGTTTATCTCATTTATTTATTTATTTATTTATTTATTTATTTATTCCATAACTTTACTGAGAGACAAATAGCAATGTGACAGTTTCAAATCAAATTGGTAGGACAGTTTCAATAATTAACACATTGCATACTCTCTTCCTAGTGGTTAATTGCTATACAAGATGCAGATATGATGTCCTATTTACAAACACTATTAGAACAAATCCCTCTATTCATTAAGAGAATGTAACTATATATCTATTCTAACCATTTTGAATACACAGATA